CACTTTAAACCGGGTATGATAATTGTTGACTGTGCAGATGAGGAGATTGCGGAGTGGCTGACAGGACGTGCACCAGTCCTAGAGAAATGGGATGGCCACACACGGGTTGCTAAGAACGGAGGCGACATCCCGAAATTTACATCTTCGTCTCCACAACTGCGGGACGAGATCTTAACAGAACGGCTTTTTCGATCCAAAATAAAGATTCACATCCGGTTCCGGAAACTGATACACAAGTGAGCCAATCATGAAGATCGGTCATAGGCCAAGTCTTGCAGATCGGGTTGATGACCCGTTAGCTGAGGCCATCTAAAAGAGCGGTCATATATTGCATTATCGCTTGGGAAAAATCCTCGTTAGAGATTTCAGAATGGGCGGAACGTTGCATTTGCCCTATTACCAGAAGTACAAGGCCAAGTGGAGCACTGCAATAAAAAGAAGTAGCCACTCATCATCAAACGCTCATCACATGGAGCAGCAGCGATACAAATTACGCTAATAAGTGAGGCGTTGTTAGAATATATAACTAAAGAAAATGTAGAAATATGTAGGAAATTTTTACTAACAGCAGAAGAGTAGGAGAGCTAGTATATGCTGCGCAAGACAGGGAGGCATACAGGAGTACAAGCAGTAGTCGCTAACATCCATTAGTGAATACGCAGAAGAAGAAGAAGAAAAAGTAATCTTATTGAACCAAGGAGGGCAACCGGTGCGCCTTGGTGACACAAAGGTTAAAAGACCTGAGGCAAGGTTCGCAGATTTTCAATAAAGCTGGGCGAAAGAGATCTTTGACGTGAATACTACAATTTCGCTCTCGCTGTCCTGCATGCTGACTTTAACTGTTGCAAAAACGGTAGTCGCGAAGAGCGCGGAAAGCATATGCGTAACAAGGCGATGTCCACACGGTCCAGTTCTTCCTCCACTGATATGGAACCTTATGGTGGATGGACTACTTGGGTAATTTGGTCGCCAGGGTATAGACGTTTGAGCCTACGCTCATGACATTGTTATTATCGCTAGGCGAAAGTTTAGGAGCATCTTTTTCACATATTGAAGAGGGGCTGCGGGTGACACAAGCCTGGTGTTACACTGTGGGACTCAAATTTAACCCAACAAAGACAATCTTGGTGCTCTTCATTAGGAAAAGAAAGCTAGAACGTCTGCATACTGTACGGGTTTGCGGAGAAACAGTGAAAAGAAAAACGCAGGTGAAACACCTAGTTGTGGTATTTGATTGTAGTTTTCGTTGGTGCAGACACGCAGAAATTAAAAATGTTACGCGGGCCCACTTGGTGTTGAAAGCCAACTCAGGTGAAGCGTTGAGAGCCTCTCATGAGGGGGATGCATAACATGATGGTGGTGCCACTCCATACATACGCAGCTGTGGCTTGGGGAAGAATAGTTTTACTTGAAACAACAAGAAAACTCGAAACGGTTGCAGAGACTTGCATGAGTCTGCATATTTTGGGGCTATGAGGACTTGTCTCGATGTGGAGATGGCAGCGAGGACGGCCAATTTCTAAGTTTGGGAAGAATGGGTTAGCTGAGCTTGGAGCGGAGGATCGGGAACGTATCACCGGCGAAGTTCTGCTCGTTTCACTTCCAAGGAATGATATGGTCAGAAGATATAGCTTCGAAAAAAACTTCACCTGGTTGCTGAGCTGCAGAGAAATACGTACTACCCTGTTGGGTTACACTCCATCTTGTTGTTTGCAGATTAATTAAAGACCAGTGAGAGGGCAGATGCAAGCGTTTTTGGGCCAAGACACAAACACCTCAATCCCATGGGAACGTATCTTAGCGCCTTTCAGACGGAAGTACATGCAATTAACATGTGCGTGTCAATCTTAAATGGAAATATCGAGGCAGGAAATTTTGATTATGTCGTTCAGTCAGGCCATACGAGCGATGAATTATTTCTCGGCATCGTGCGATGTAGCGTGGCGTTGTTTTAAGAGTCGGAATAAATTGGGCAGATGCAGCCAGATCGCACTGTTCTTGGTGCCTGGATATGTGGGCGCGAAAGGAAACAAGGGCGCTGACGCGTTGGTAGGGAAAGGACCAAGCACACCTCTTCTTGGGCTGGAGCCCTTCTAGGGAATGGAACCACATACGGTTCGAAGACAATTAAGGAAGGAAATGGGGAGGCGGTGATTGAGGTGCCGGAGAGGCCCTAAGGCCAAGGATCTTCAAGGAGATTACGACAAGGGGCGCTTTGGTTAAATCATAGGGTCCAGCAAGAATCAAATGAGAATTGATATATCTTGACCAGTACCTTCACGGGGCATTGTTAGCTTTGGAGTCACCTTAAGAACCTTAAAAGTTTAGATCTTGGAAATGAAAGTACTTGGTGAAAATTACTTCTAGGAGAATGCCAGGAATACACCTTCTAGGCGAATTTTGAACCCTACCTTTGCTGGGCAAATTGTTTAGTTTCGTTTGCGTATGTACATATTCACAGCGGAGAAATATCATTTTCATGTGCGTCAGCGGAGAAATGTCATTTTCATACTCTAGGGCTTCATATAACTTCGTCGAAAAGCACATTGTACTGTAGGAGGAAAAGCAGAATTGGCTCCTTTACGCCAGCTTCTATTTAGAAAGGTTCATTGATCTAACGCCTTTACGTAGTGTTAATCCATATATGGTGTATTTGATTCCCTATTTGACCATTCAGTCAAATTTTCTTATGCCATTTTGCGAGTTGACCGTAACAGCAACAACCTTTTGAAAGGTTAGCCAAAACAATGCCTTTGATTGTAAAAAAAACGTCACAGTTTACTGAAGAAAAGAAACGGGCAAAGTTTAATAAAAATGTACCCAGTGAAGAGAACGGGGTAATCTTGTTGAAGAAATGCGAAAAGTACACTTGAATAATCTGGGATTAAAACAGGCGGCAACGTCAACAATGTAGTAATTGTCATCAGAAGAAGAATTTAAGCTTGTTTCAAGAAATGGAAACAATTCAAACTGAGAAAACAGTAAATTACATTTAACGTTCATTTACAAGATGCCCCGTATAGAAGTGCATCTCTGTATATTATTGTGAAGGCACTTATAAGTTTGCAAAACTTTTGTGAAGGAAATATTCAACATGATGCGAGTTAAATTTTAAGTATACTTTCTTTCCTGTGTGAGATAGTTGAACTATAATATAATATGAAAACGTTAGAAAAAATTATTTTCACATGAATATGCGAATTAGTTAAAATCTGTTCAGATTTCAGAATCATATGATTTTAAAAATCGAAAAATTTTTATCTTTTCATTTTCAGAAAACGTTATCATTTTAGGCGACGTAACGTTACAATATGCGCACATTTTACCACAACTGGCAACCCTGTTAACTGATTTTTAATTTGGTATATCACCTTTCCATCTATTATGATTTAGAAATTATTGAGAAAAATTATGTACTGCAAATTTTTTTATACCAAATTCTTCAACGATTTAAAAAATGTACAACAACTGTTCCAAATAGTGTTTCACTTCTGCTATGTAGATTTTTAACTTACCAACAAAGTTTCCTTTATATTTGCGAAAATTAATGACCCTGTGAATATCATATAACATCTTGGATACGGTTTATATTTTATTTTTGATTTCAACAAAAATAAAAGCTATTTATAATAAATTTTATTATATTTATATTAGCTGTTTAACTATGGGTCCGTTGAAACATTGAGCTCTGAACATTGTCTCACTACAAAAATTTTGTCTACTAATGAGATTCTATACAATGGTATATAACAGTGCTCTGAGATGCAAGTCACTCTATAGGTATAAGAATAATGCTGGCGGTGAATCCAGCAGATAACAGATTAAGGTGCAGCAGTTGTGAATCAATTAACGCACCTCTTGAAAGACATCTTTCTATGTTTATAATCAAGCATGCCTTTACTTCCTTACCATTTAAGCATGATTAATTAATAATTAAGCATTCTTTAATTGTTTGTAATCCAATCTATAGTATTATTGACAAATATTGGCAATAAGAAACACTAAAAGGGGTACAAAAAAACACATTCTTTACAGCTCGTGAAATCGATAATAGTTTTTTTTTTGTAAAAAAACATTGCACAAATAAAAGCTTTACTAGGGGCCCCTGTGGTTTGCTTATAAGCAGCATTATCTGTTGTAAAAACAGGATTGTGGCAATCAATTTTAAAATAAGTTTAGAAAAATTTGTAAATATTATGGCATACATATGCAGGTATATACTTGTATATGCATAAATATCATATTGGTTTGAATACTAATGATAAATAAAAGTAATGGAAATATTTTTAATTTAATAAATTTTAAGATGTAATATGTGTCACTGTTAATTACATAGATATGATTAAAATTCAATTTAAGAATTAGTTAACAATTAAGAACGAAAAATTTCCTTCTAAACAACGTTATCTAGATAAGACGTAACGTTATCTAGATAAGTACGTAACGTAACATTATTCGTGTTCTTATATCTCTCACAATTTTTAGTTTTAGTTTTTTTAATTCCATTCCATGTTAAATACAACAACAAAAAATTATTTCACTCTTACTTAACTCATTTAAAATATTTCGCTTCCTTTTGCTTTTTATTTTTGTTTATGGTAGTAAAGCAAAAAAACAAAAAAAATATTACTACTCTTTTTTATTCTCTTTCGCTTTTCGCTTTTCGCTTTTCATTTTTTGTTTTTGTTTTACAGTATGTATAATCAATTGAGTAATGTATCTACCCAGTATTCTCTTTTGCTATTTTCATTTTTTTGTTTTTGTTATTTATTAGATTATATGTATACCTGTTCATGAACTGGAAAAATCTTGTAAAATATAATATAGATAATACCTCTATGATATGAGGTTTAAAAGTTCTCATACTTGAGTGAATATGAAATTAGAGTGAAACACATTCCCGGAAAGATAAAAAAACGATTACAAAAATAGATTTGTGTCAACGAAATTTCGAATTAAGGGAATATAAATAGAAATAAATCATATAAAAATAAAAATACAAAACTTACTTGTACTCTGGACTCTGTTAATCCAATTCGCATGGCAATTTCTTCTCTCATAAATATATCAGGATAATGAGTTTTGGAAAAACACCTCTCTAATTCATTTAATTGTGCTGGTGTAAATCTTGTTCGATGTCTCTTTTGTTTTCCAGATTTGTCAGAATTCTAGAAATTTATAAAAATACCATGAATTTGCTTCGATTTATAAATTATTTTAACATTAACTTGATCCAATTGCATAGTATTGGCATCACAAAGACTTCCGGTCATAGATAGCTTTACACCTACAAACCCACAATCCACAGCTTCTAAAAATTTATTAAATAAAATTAAAATACCTAATTCACAATTATTGTGGAGGTTGAGACGTTGCCTGTAAAAGTTTAGTTGTTTATTTAGTAGTGTTGATAAATTTTAATAATATATTAAAAATCAAAATAATAATAAGAATATTCGCGAAAAAATCATAATCTTTTAATTTTTGTAACGTTTATATAAAGTTCAAATTTGCTACAAAGTGCTTATAGTGAAAATATAAAAATTGCACATATTAACTATTGCTTTGTTTATATATGAGAATTACAATATACTCATTATACCCTGCACTTCGTGAAGGGTATATTAACTTTGGTATGGAGTTTGTAACTACTTGAAGGAGTCATCTGCGGTATGGACATATATATATATTCTTGCTCAGCGTAAAATTCTGCGTCGATTTAGACATGTCCGTCCGTCCGTCCGATCGCACGATAACTCAAAAATGAATAGTGCAATCGACACCAAACTTTCACAAGTTTTTTCTTTTGTGCCAAGGACGAACCCTATTGTTATTGGACTAATTCGGACAACGGGTTCGGGTAGCTGCCATACAACTCCAAGAGTTTATTTTAAATATTTCAAAAACTAATAAAGGTACAAATATAAAATTTTGTATACATGTATCCAATTATATTCTACAATGCAAGTGTAACAACAATACTATTCAAATATTACTATGTAAAAGGGAAAAATATCAAATAGAAAAAAGGAAAAAGAAAAAACAGTAAGATTAACGTAGTAATTAGCTTTTAGTCGTTACAGCAAAGACTGAGATAAGTTCATAACTTGATTGTGTATTATTACATTGTTGTATTTACATTTATCAGGGGATCAATTATCCATCTCTTTTACTAAAAATTTAAGTATTGAAAAAACCGCTTCGGTTGGAGCCTGTTCTTCATAGTATCAGTTTTACTTAGAGAAAGAGCAAATTTCACAACCAAGTCTCAAATCAAAAGTTCATGCAGAATGCAAAGAACAAAAATCTGATGTGGTCAGCACATAACCGACCGCATTGTGTATTGTCTAGTTAAATGAAAGTGTTACAGAATATTATAAAAATGTCTGTTAAATACTTCTTTCCAATTTTTAGGACATTAGTAAGCTTATAGTTAACATACTTAGAAAAATGTAAATTTGGCTCTTAGTAGAGTTTTGCTTTGTGCCACCCGAATTGCCTGAAATGCTCGCCAGTTAGTTCCGGTAACAACCAGAATTCAAATATCAAATTTCAAGAAATTCCATCAATTTGTTCTGTGGATATGGTGAAAAATGTAAAATCGGCCCGCAAATCAGTTCTCGAGCCCTGATCTTTCCAAAAAAGTTATATGTTCATTGCTTTAATATGAGGAACTCATATATTAAATTTCAATGAAATCGGTTGATTATTTCTCTTTATATACACAAAAGTGTATGTTTGGCCCGTAGTAAACGTCTAGTTGCCGATGCCTGATCTTTCCCAAAAATTTACATGTTCATTGTTTTAATACGGGGACTTCATATATTAAATTTCAATGAAATCGGTTGATTATTTCTCTTTATATACACAAAAATGTATATTTGGCCCGTAGTAAACGTCTAGTTGCCGATGCCTGATTTCTTCCAAAACATACGAATTTTTGCGGACGGTCCAGCTGAGCTTATATATAAAATTTCAAGTAAATCGGTTGAATATTTTCTTCAAAATGTTCAAAAATGTAAAACAGGCCCGCTAAAAAGTGCAGTTCCCGAGGCCTGATATATACCAAAAGTTGATCGATCCGTGCCATGGTGGAAACAAACTTACATATAAAATTTCATCAAAATCGGTTCAGCCGAACTTGAGATACACGCGTGCACACACAGACCGACAGACCGACAGACCGACAGACCGACAGACGGACAGACCGACAGACCGACAGACCGACAGACCGACAGGTTGCTAAAAATAGTTTATTTACACTTCCCCACTAAGGAGAAGTACGTTCCCACCGAAAACTCGATATGCAAAATTTGTTGCCATCACATAACCTACCTATTGTTTACACAATACGGTCTGTAAAAAGTATAAATACCCAAAGTGGTAATCCAGCTATGCTCTGCGCAGACTAATTTCTCTATGAAGATCGATCTAAAGTATGTATATTGGCTTGGGTTATTTACCGTACTCACTTTTTTCAATACTGTTTGGGTGGAAATAGAATTTTATTATACGATAAATATATTTTATTTCGAAGAATTTCTTATAAAAAAAAAATCTGATGTGGTCAGCACATAACCGACCGCAATGTGTATTGTCTAGTTAAGTGAAAGTGCTACAGAATATTATAAAAATGTCTGTTAAATACTTCTTTCCAATTTTTAGGACATTAGTAAGCTTATAGTTAACATACCTAGAAAAATGTGAATTTGGCTCTTAGTACAGTTTCGTTTTGTGCTACCCGAATTCCCTGAAATGCCCACCAGTTAGTTTTGGTAATAACAAGAACTCAAATATCAAATTTCAAGAAATTCCATCAATTCGTTCCGTAGATATGGTGAAAAATGTAAAATCGGCCCGCATATCAGTTTTCGAGCCCTGATCTTTCCAAAAAATTTATATGTTCATAGTTTTCATACGAGGAATTTATATATTATATTTAAAAAATCGGTTGATTATTTCTCTTTATATACACAAAAATGTATATTTGGCCCGTAGTAAACGTCTAGTTGCCGATGCCTGATCTTCCCAAAAAATTTACACGTTCATTGTTTTAATACGAGGAACTCAAATATTAAATTTCAATGAAATCGGTTGATTATATCTCTTTATATACACAAAAATGTATATTTGGCCCGTAGTAAACGTCCAGTTGCCGATGCCTGATTTGTTCCAAAAGCTAGGAATTTTCACGGAAGGTCAAACAAAGCTCATATATGAAATTTCAAGTAAATCGGTTGAATATTTTCTTCAAAATGGTGAAAAATGTAAAATCGGCCCGCAAATCAGTTTTCGAGCCCTGATCTTTCCAAAAAATTTATATGTTCATAGTTTTCATACGAGGAATTTATATATTAAATTTCAATGAAATCGGTTGATTATTTCTCTTTATATACACAAAAATGTATATTTGGCCCGTAGTAAACGTCCAGTTGCTGACGCCTGATTTCTTCCAAAAGTTAGGAGGTTTCATCGCCGGTAGAGCAAAACTTATATATGAAATTTCAAGTAAATCGGTTGAATATGTTCTTCAATATGCTCAAAAATGTAAAACAGGCCCGCTAAAAAGTGCAGTTCCCGAGGCCTGATATATACCAAAAGTTGATCGATCCGTGCCATGGTGGAAACAAACTTACATATAAAATTTCATCAAAATCGGTTCAGCCGAACTTGAGATACACGCGTGCACACACAGACCGACAGACGGACAGACCGACAGACCGACAGACCGACAGACCGACAGACCGACAGGTTGCTAAAAATAGTTTATTTACACTTCCCTACTATGGAGAAGTACGTTCCCACCGAAAACTCGATATGCAAAATTTGTTGCCATCACATAACCTACCTATTGTTTACACAATACGGTCGGTAATAAATCATGTCTCATGGAAAAGTCCAGAAAATATAAAATATAAAATGAGGTTTTTAGAGCGCCGTAACGTACTTAGGCGAAATATTAGGCATTCTTCACGAGGAATCTATTCTCAAAGAGCACGAGAATCAAACTTCAAATCAAATAAAACAAACTTCAATGTAAAGGAAGAATAATATGATTTAGTTACGCAAGTGGTACTCAAGTCAATCTAGAGAGTCAAAACTCGTTTAATGATAGTTTGCAGGTTCTGGGGCACAATTTACTGCATAAAACAATAATTAAAACTGATCTTCCTTAGAAGCTGTTGGGGAGGGTCATGTGGAAAACGCCGTGCGGTAAAAGCAGACAAAATATGTGCAAACGCGGAAATCAGAAAAATGCTAGTATAGGTGTAATAAAGTAAAAAATCAGAAAACTAAAAGCAATTACTTAAACTTTAGAATAAGTGAGCCAGAAATATACGCATCTTCTCCAGAAAGAAAGCATAAACTATAATTTTAGTAAAAAACGTTTAAATAATCAAAGAAGCAAATAAAGAAAAAGTTATAACAAACAAGCGGAATTTTGTACAAAGGAGTAGAACCTCGCCAACTAAACTAACTACTTTCTCAAACGAAACGGGAAAAAATAGATTTGACCGTGTTAACTCTGTGACGTCCTTACGAATTTCTTATACTATGTGCGAATAAGTATGCCATTGCTCACTGTGGAAGAGACTACGACTTTAAGTTGTCATAAACCATATTAATTTATGTAAAGTTTTAGTACTGTGCTTCCAATATTTGCTATGATATGGCCAAACTACTATTGAGGTGGTATGGCTGCTCCCAGAAAGAGCCAAGCAATTTTCACGACTTTTATCAAACATATTAATCACTAATATATTTAGTTGGGCAAAATTTCAATACTAAAGCTTTCATAGTTTTTAAGATATAGTTAAATAAATTTTGAAATTGTATGGCAGCTACCACAACCAGTATCCTAATCATATCCAATTTAAATAGTGTTCTGTCATTTACTATAATAAATCATTTGTGAATTTTTTTTTTTTTTTTAATAGATTTAATAGATTTCTTCATAACAAAACGAATTGCGAAAAATTTCATCGAGGTACATGATAACTATGATCTTAATTCCGATCACTTGGTGGTTATTCTTGAACTTAAGGAAAATATAGTTATGAAAAGAGCGAAACCTGCGGTGACAAATGGAACTACAGATTGGTCAAGATTTCGCTTAGAGGTTGAACGACAAATAGATCTAAGGAAAAGAATAAGAACGACCCAGCACATAGATGAGGAGGCCAAAAACTTTACTAAGATTATTTAAAATGCGGCTTGGAGTAGTTCCAAAATTAATGCTATTAGAAGGGGGGGGGCATTAACTATCCTCCACATATACTAGCAAAAGTGAGACGAAGCAAGCGGGCAAGA